TGCTCGGTGTCCCTGGCACAGTCAGGGAATTCCCTCGCGATGAGGGACACACACGGACAGACACAGGCTCGTGCACAGCAGTGTGGAGCCATCCACAAATCTGTGCTTGACATGTGTCCATGCAAACGGGGCTGCTGCAAGAGCACGCAGGGCAGGAACACAGAACCAGCCCTGGGCTGTGCTGAGAATTTGTGGAGCTAAATGCGCAGGTCTGGAGCGTGGAAGGACCAAGTCCCAGGCAATCACAGGGGATTTTTTTTCTTTATTTGGAGTTTGCACAATGTGGAAATGAGTCAAAGTGGTCTAGAATGGCACATGGGAAATGCTTGGATGTTTGGTGTAAAACCCACGAGACCGCAGTCGACACGTGGGAAGGCCGTTACTAGAGAGCATTGGGATGAGGTCGAGGTCCCTTCCTCCAAGCTTAGCCTCGCACAGATAAATCACCTCCCTCCCTCCCTCCCCCGGGTTGTTGCACAGCCGAGGAAGCTCCCTGCACCAGGGTGTCTTGCACAGCACACAGGTACAAGGCACTGTCAGACAGCTCCACTTCCTCCACCTTCAGGACACTGTATTTCCCCGTGGTGTTCAGGTGCGTGCTGATACGGCCGCTGTGCTTGGGGCCAGTCCCTGATTGATAGGAGACCAGCTGGGGGGATTGGCGTTTCCGCAGCTGGTACCAGAGTAATCCCCGAAAATCACTGGTCTGGTATTTGCAGGTGGTGTGGAAGGGGTGTCCCTGCTTGACCATGACTTCTCCATCTTCCTGGGTGACCGTGATCTGCCCCGTGGTGCCTGTAAGAAAGTCCATGTCAGCAGCGCCTTAGGGAAGGACTACGGGAAGCAAAAGGAAGTGCATGGAAAGCTCTGGAGGAGAAAGATCACTGCCTTGTAGCAATGAAGTCCTGAGACTTTTTGGGCATGAATTCAGAGCTCTATTCTTTGCATCTCAGAAAGGTGAGCTCCTCTGTGCCTCTGCACCTGCTCCTTCTCCTCCTGTACAGAAGACCAGGGAACAGCCTGCCCTAGCTGAAATTTGTGTGGTGCAACCAGCACTCTTCCAGCTGCGTGAGGAGCCCACCGACGTTCAGCAGAAGGATTTATCTTGCTTCCCCATCCCTGTCATGTCTGAGGGCTTCTCGATCCCTGAGTAC